AACGCCAGCGGCCCAGGAACAATGCTCGCCTCTTACTTGTCTGACTACGAAGCCACCGTCGCATGCGCAATGCCCGAAGCCGAACACATGGCGTATATCAAACGCGCGTTTGCCGAAATGCATGGCGAGGAGGTGATTGAAGAGAACTGGACCGGCAACTACGCGCGTCAATGCTGGGAGCAAGACGAGCACCAAGCCGGTGCTTTTACGATGCAGATTTTCGGGCAGCAGACCTTGTATCTTCCGGCGTTCTATCAGACGGAATATAATACGGTCTTTATTGGGGAGGCGGCGACGTTTACGCATACGTGGATTTTCAGTGCGCTTGAATCTGCGACACGGGGGACTGTGCAGTTGTTGTTGGATATGGGGTTGGTGGATGAGGCGAAGCAGATTACGCAGACGTGGATGGCGAGGTTTATTGAAGTTTAGATGGGGTTATGCGATGATGAGTCTATGAGTGCGCAGTTTCGAGCCAGCTTTCCTCTATGGGTAACATCGTGTGATGTTTCTTTAGATAACTCATTATTCGCGATGTTTGGCATGTCGGATCTGGAAACGTCTTCTGAGTACCTCGCGTTATCACCTCTTGGCTGACGAACAGGTGTACGGTAGCTACAGGACCTCACAATTTAGGGCACGGACGAAATTACGCTCAATTATCTCGCACTCACCTGATATGCTTTATCGAACTGGCGATAAATCGGCACTCACTTAATCGAAGGTCACCACCAAATTGACGGTCACTTAACCGACGGTCACCGAGCCTCATAAGCTACTACCGAACCTTGATAACACTACATCATCCAACATTAGACCACTATTGATATCTTGCACTCGCACAACACCGATCTTCTCTAGCACAACAAATCCAGAGACAGCCATGGTAAGTAGCGATGTCTCCTTCTTAATCACCGAGGCTAATATAACGAACAGGCCAAAACACGTCAACCGCTGAGCTTCGACGGAAAATGGATGGCGGTGGCAAAGTCCAAGGATGACGAAGTCATTTCAGTAACCTACTCCGCGAATTACCGCAACGCGGCTGGCAATCGAGTGCATTTGAGCGACATCGACTTCAATACCATCAGCCCGGAGATTGCCGAGCAAGAAGACGGAGACGGGCTAAAGACGACCAACCTCACCCGCACCGCATTCAAGGTTTGGGAGCAACTTGGCCTCGGGATACCCTCATGGGATGAGGTCAAAGAATTCGATAGCAACGAAATGTCCCATGCGACGAAAACCGACCGTTCCAACCGCCCGGACCTCAAGCGACGACGCAACACCAACGCCAACGAGATCATCGATCTGCAGGCCAGCGATAAGAAGCAGCGCATGAAACCCGCTTTCACCCGTATGAGCGCCGAAAACAAAGCCGCAGCTCAATCTGCCTTTCGAGACATATATACGCCAATGACGAGACAGCAAATCGCCGACTTCCAGCAGATGGCAGCCGAAGAGCACAAGTACGGCGAAGCCCCCACTCTCGCAACCATCAACGACGCTCGGCAGTGGGCTGAAGATACCAACACTGATCCGCACGAGGCACCCGCGTTCGACTATCACAGGCTAGCCGGAAGCCGGCTTACCGAGACACAGGAGGGAGATGTTGAGGAAGACGTCATGATCAAGAAGCAGAAACTTGAGATGGTTGAGAGCAAGGTTGACTTCGGTGAAGAGGTCGGTGGCGAGGGTAGTGGACAAGACAACGGTCATGCGGACGATGAGGGTGGAGAAGAGGATGATGACGACGGGCTCGTGACTGTAAATTGGGGATCTGGGGAGCGTCGAGTGCCAAAGGTGGATGCGTACATCGAGGAGATAGGCCCTGAATTCTGGTTCCATGCTCTGGATGTTCTCGGTGATCGTCTAAAACAGGTACTGGAGCAATGAAGAAGCTAGTACAGCCAAAAGCGGTTAGCGTGACGGAATGGGTGGAGAAGACATGGTAACTTTGGGAGCGTTAGATACGAAGCGATGGTCGCTCCAGATGGTATAGATCTTGCGCTCATCGCACACACACGAATAATGCGTTCTTTTACATTCAGCTCTTAGATACTAACTGTCACATGAGCGCAACATGTGCTCACACTGGCGGCATTGCTGCTAGATCGCACTGCGTGGAATGCAATAACTGTTACTCACGACAGCTTACTCTAGAGTTATTCGTAACATTCCCAAGCGACACGTCAAAGATGAACGAGATCATGTATACCTCAACCACATCCCTGGACATGATATATGCGACTACCACCTGCAATGTATACCTTAGAGGTGCCCAGCGACTGCACTTGCCAACGTTCCAAGATTAACGTAACCTCTAGGCTATCACGAGGCAAGCGCTCCGCAGATGACATGTTAGAGAGGGATTTCGGTTAGCAAGACCAAGCTCACCAATACATCACCACATCATGGAGGCATTCGTAGTGTTTTACAGTAGCAGACGTGAATTACAGAAGACCATGTATACATCAACAACACCTCTAGCCATATGCATGCTGCTGTCACCTGCGACGTATGCCTCAAAGATACCTAACAGGTGCTCTTTCTAATACTTTGGCATCCATGTCGTCCGCAGGCTACTACAAGGTACTCGCTCCTCAACCCACACCTCAAGCTCCAACAACCTACCCATAAACTTAACAGCTACGCCCTCGCACCTCCCTGCCCCACACCTCTTAACATACCAATTCCCGCCCGCCGTCCCATCTCCTCTCTTCTCCAGCTATCACACACAGGAGATTAGGTACGCAATCCTGCCCTATACCTTAAACCCACTTTCACTTGCTCCGCTTACTAACCCACGTCCCTCTATCTATAGCTGTCTCCTAACCATGTCCGACTGCACCTTCGCCACGCGCGTTTTCGACGCCTTCGTGGCCCACATGATCACGGCCGTTTTGGTCTTCGCGCTGCTCCGCTGGGCCCGTTGGGCGGGGTATGAGATGCTGTGGGAGAGGCGGGAGAGGAGGGAGAGGAGGGAGAGGAGGGAGAGGAGGGAGAGGAGGGAGGAGTTGGCGGCGTTTGAGCGCCGCATGAATGGTATTATTGATCGGTATGTTTAGTGCGGATATTGATATACGTAGTTGATTTCTTTTCTTTCCTTTGTTTGTCTTCCCTTTCTAGTATATCTTTCTTCTATTATGGTTAGCTATTAGCTTTGTTATCTGGGGGGTATTTTAAGGGCCTTGGACCCCACCTCCCCGCGGTTAGGCCTGGGGCCACTCCCGGGGAGTGGTGCGGACGGGGGTATTCTTATTCATTGTCGGAAGAGGCTGAGATTGGAGATGTTTTCGAGAGCGCTGCTCGTCACAGCTCACAACTCACAGCCGGTTTGCCGAAGACATCCACAACACGCTATCCGCAACTCGATCTACTAAGTCGTTGTATGTTTCAACTGGACCTGAGTCACTCGTATCGGCTTCGCGCATTCGACATGTCGTCTCCAAGTATCATGATAGTCGAGAGAACTTCCTCCTCGCGAGGCCATGTCGTCGTCAAAACGGTTCTTGGTACTGGCCCACTCTTCGCTGAACGAGGCGACCCTGAACCTTGGTTCTACCAGCGCACTCTCGGCAGAAGCACAACATCCCTCTTCCACCTCTTCAGTCTCACTCCAACCTCCCTCGATCATACCTCAACATCGCCATCATGCCGATCTTCGATCTGGGCCGTCTAGGTCGCTTCCAGGTATCCTATCTTCCGCCATCAGACATACCGCAAGGAGATCACCAAGACCTACCGTCATGCCCGCCGCCTGAGTACACGGACATCGCTGAAAGCGAGATCAAGTACACCTCTCCATCGCAAGCTCAACCACCAGAATGCAAGACCGAACAGGTCCGTCGCTTTCTCATCGAAATCGTTGCAATAACCTTCAACGCGGACTTCGACTCGCTAAACGCAGCCTTGTACAACATCCCCGTACCAGACAACACAAACACCATACTCTGCGACTCTGAGCGCGCAGACCTGGTAGCTCAATCCGATCTTGTGCGCAAGGTGCATAGGCACTTCCTCCACAACACCAAGACACATATATCCCAAGAAGACGAGAGAGCCATCTGCTCAACCATAACCCTCCCCGTCGCACCCCTCCGCGTTGCACCCCCCCCTAACCTCCTACCAAAGTACACTCCCGCACTTCACTCTAGACATGATAGGGTGGTACGGCGAAGAAACGCGACATCCATCTGGCACATGCTGGACGAGCACGCTCCCTGGACACTGGGATACAAACTCTCTGGGGTATTACGGTCAAGAACAGGTTATGTTCTCCATGAGATCGCTTTTCCATGTCATCAAGGACATTGCTCCGAACGACAAGGTGCACGACGTGCTAATGGAAGCATGGGACACTTGTCGGCGACGCGGTGGGTGGCCGATGGACACGCTGGTGGGCGACTCAAAGATGTGTTGGCCCTTGAGGAAGGGGTACCATCATATGGGGGATGCGTTGAGGGATATGCCGCTGTTGGGGCCTTGGGTTGTCGTTGAGGAGGAGTGAGTCAGTGCAGTGGTGTATCACCCTTCGTTCGCGCCACGGGAGTAGTCTCTACGAACGGCATGTAAAACAATGAAAACCTTCGTTAGTACCAGACATGTCTCGCCATCAACCTGCGACTGCCGAGTCCCAAAGGAGTGTTGCGGTGTGGAGAGTTTGGTAAGGGTGGGTCACGGGAGGCGATCGACGCATTGTGGCTCGGCCCCCAGCCACAATGCAGAATGACATCATGCTGGCTGTACCTGCAGCAACCAACACCACCAATTTGACCGCAAACCTGCTGTCTAGCCCCGTGCGAAACGCGGCAAGCGTGTTTCCACTATTGCCAGCTCGCCATCTTTTCCGGCCCGTCCGCCTCTTCTCTCCTCTTCAGTCCTCTGCATTTCTTTGTATTCCCTTTAGTCTGTCGCTTCGACCCTAATTTCCCTATACGCGACGACCACGCGAGCGCCCCTTGGTCTTCAGCCCCTGCCACCACAACAACACCACCACGATGGTGCACCAACGCGCATCCCAGCGGGCTTTCCTGCTGAGCGCGACACTCGGTCTCGCCAATGCATTCGCTCTGCCAGAGCCGACAGCTGTCCCCGCCAAGGTGGAAGTGCGCGCGCCTGTTGTGACTCCCGCGGCGATCCGGTTCGTAGGGCGGCACAGCTACGTGGAGAAGAGGAACATCATCGACGACATCAAGAGCGGCGTGGATAACTACGCAGCCTCGATAGGCAGCGTGCTGGGAACTGACCTGCCCAGCTTCTTCACAGAGGGTAAGCAAACGCCTGCATGGCAAGCTTCGCACTAGTGAGGCTTGTGCTGACTCTTATTCTCTAGGCATCCCCGGCTGGTTTGAAGGCCTCCCCACCGGCAAAGAGGTCCTGTCCAGCCTTGGCATCGGCGACGACGACCTGGCTGCGAAGCCCACCGAAGTCCTCAACATCCCTCCCTATGCCAACTGGACCGACCAGGGCTGGAACGTCCGCTTCCACGGCAATGTGTACAAGTTCCCGGACATCAGCCAGGACAAGGTCGACGACCTGGCCAACGTCTTCCTCATCGACACGAGTGTTGCCGAGCTGCCCGACAACCAGAAGGAGCAGGCACGCAACCTGACGCGCTCCATCTTCATCGTCCAGCAAGGCGACGTCAATGTCTCCATGTCGCTCGAGCCCGCGCCCATGCAGGGCGGCGACGGCGAGCCCGGCGGCGGCAACTCCATCGAAGCCCCCGGCGGCGTCCAGAACCTCACGCTCCCCTACGAGACGACCGAACTCGGCGACTTCGACGTCTTCGTCCCCATCCAATCCAACGGCCTCATCCCCGGCAACGAAACCAACAACGTCCAGCGCCTAAACGTCTACACCAACGGCACCAACAGCGGCAACGCCACCGCCTTCCTCGTCCCCTCCGAGGGCATAACCTTCATCTCCGACATCGACGACATCCTGCGCGTAACCAAAATCTACGACCCCAAAGAAGGTCTCCTAAACTCCTTCGCCCGCCCCTTCACCCCCTGGATGAACATGCCGGATATCTACGCAAACTGGTCCCGCACCCTCCCCAACAACACACACTTCCACTACCTGACCACGACCCCCGAGCAAGCGACCCGTCTGTATATGGACTTTATCTACAAAACCTACCCCGGCGGCTCCTTCGACACCCGTCCCCTCAACTTCTCGGACATCTCTGCCACGCTGTCCATCCGCAAATTCCTCCTCACCAAAGTGTTTGAGACTTTCCCCACGCGCAAATTCGTTCTCGTGGCCGATACTTCCAACAGCGATGTCATGAAAGCGTATCCTGAACTCGCGCACGACTACCCAAACCAGGTCCAATGCATCTTCCTGCGGAATACTTCGGCTACGGATTCAGATATGTGGTTCCCGTACAATACCGAAGGTTTCAAGGGATTGAACAACAGGAGTTATATGTTCTTCCGTGAGCCGAATGATCTTGCGGGACTGGATATTGTTAATGGACAGTGTTTGAATGAGAGTATTCCGCAGAATGTTACGTTTTCGAGGCAAGCGGAGATTCTGGGGATTCATGGGGATAGTGCGGGTGGCAAGCTGCAGAGCGGTGCGACGATTAGCTTTGTTGTGGCGTTGTTTGTGGCTGTTGCGCTGTCTCTGTAAAGAATGATGCATGGTTGAAGGCATGAGTACATATGAAGCATGGTGTTGTTGGATTTTGATTCAAATAATTTGGGTTTTGGGCATAGCGGCATGGTCCGCGTTGGTTTTGGATTTCTATTGTGCATAGGATTTTCCTATCCTTAGGGCAATTATAAGATTGTTTTATGACGGTTGAGTCTGCACTTTTTGTGTGTGAGCGAGCACTTTTCCTTGTCCCATGCGCAAAAAGACCAGACTCCATCGGCACATTCTTATCCACACAAGCAAACCTCTCTCTCTCAACCTAACCTCACTACCTCACCACCCCATCACCGCATCCTCCTCCCCCTCTCCCGCCGACAATCCTCCCTCCCCCTACCCACATTCAACCTATGAAACCAACACACCCCGCTTAACCGATCATCACCCCTTTGGTCTAGTTTCCGCCTACTACCGTACAGGCATCTAGGTAATGTTGGCTTCTTCCTGTTGATGAATTGGTTATATGACTCCTCATATATCTGCATGAGATTGGGACCGTGGCGTTCGTTCTTTTTCGCGTTGAGCTTTCCTTTGCGGCCGTGGCTGCGCAGGGTGGCTAGGTCTAGTGCGGCGATGGTGGGGGAGATGGTTGGGATTTTCTCTGTGTCTTGGGATATGTCTTCATTTTCGGAGCTTGAGGAGGGGGATGGAGGGCTAGAGGGTGTTGTAGGAGGTAGCGAACAAGATGGAGACGATGATGAAGATGAAGAAGAACGTGTGCTTTCGGATGAGCGAGATCGCGATAGCTGGGTTATTGCAAGAAGCTCACGGAGGACCCGGCAGTAATGTAAGCGATGGGCGCTCTCAGCAGGGAGTTGGTTGCTTTTGGGATCGATGTCGTGGATAACGATGGGTTGATATCTATCGTAGATGACCATTACGGGTTTGTAACAAAATGTGACTATGTACTCTCCCCATTGATACGTGGGTCTGGCTACGCCGTCCATACTTATTTTTGAGGGCTCGTGGCAGATACGTTGAGAAAGAGGTTTGGTGTCTGCGCCACTGTTGAGCGCTTTCGCGGCTCTTGTATAGTTTAGCAAACGCCTTCTCAAAGACATTGGTTTGACAATGACGCGGGTACGACTTATCACGATTTATGCTTCTAGAAGTCCTGAGGCTTGTTCTTGGGCACTTTGAGAGACAAGTTGAATGTAGAAGTGAGATGTGATGGTATGCTTGTATGGTCTCATCGGAGTGCGACAGACGCGAAGTGGTAATTGTATTCGAGACCTATTTGTTGTCTATGATACAGCCTTGTTTAACTACGACAACCGACTACAAGTACTCAACAAAACACTCCATCACATACTCCTTCACCGCCCACATTTCTCCATCCCCTTCTCCTCCATCAACTTCATCCCACCAAACCTACACACCTTCTTCACGGCTGTTTTGGCCTCCAGCCACTGCATCTGCGTCCGTTCCTGTTCCCGAGTCTGAGCCTGCATCGTTGTGTTTGGAGGCGGGATGAGTGCGTATGTATTCTAAGTAGTCGCTGTATTTGTGTAGATCCAGTGCTTCAACTTTGGTAGAGATAGCGAGAGAGAGGTAGCCCATGCGAACGAATGGGTGGCAGGGACTGCGCGGAGGTAGCGAGACAGAATGGGAGCGGTTGGCTCTACGCTGCGGAAGAGTTGAACTGCGCGGGCGGAAGCTGATAGACCGAGGTGCTGGTTGGGTAGGCGAGTGCTGGACCCCATTGCTTTGCTGGTGGATTGGGCTAATGGTATAAGGCTGGTTTGCGTCGTTGGCCTGCATGGAAGAGTTGGGGAGCTCAGTGAGCTGAGAGTCTGCTGCGTCGGTGTTTGAGGGCATGATGTCGGGTACGTGGTGGAATTGATGGCTTTTAGAGGGCGGTTGTGGGCTTTTGGAAGATACGTTGGACGGATGATGCTGCTTTCTGCTTGCTATCAAGACGTGTGGCAGGCAATATACAATCTGGTGGATGGAAGTCTAAGACATTGGATTGACAAGGACTTTGCTGGGAGTGATACATTGTAAGTCATGTCTCCAGTTTCTAGGTAGGCGTAGGACCGGAAACAATGCCGTTCGGGTTGTGAGACATTTTGAACATCTTCTCATTGTCTTACTCTGAGCACGACGAGCGAGGTGAGCCCATCGCATGCGATATCTGCACGCCATATGCTCGATCCTTGCTCGAAGACAACTCCCTATATGGCTGCCTTACTGTATCCCTCCCTCCTCAAACCTTCTCGCAACCTCCAAAACCCCCGCATCCAACCTCGACCCCCCCAAAAACGTCACACTAAACGGCAACGCCCCCTCATCCCCCTCCTTCCCACTCAACTCCTTAACAGGATACATCCCCGCCGGTACCGCCACACCACAAAGATCCAACACATTCCCACAATGCGTAAACTCACCCAGAATACTGTTCTTCTTGATCGGATCAGCGAGCACCTCGTCTATGCGCCAGTGTGTAGGTGTAGTCGGTACAACGACGACATCAACACCAGACGCGGAGTACGCGAAGACTTTCTCTGCTTGTCGCGTGTAGAGGGCTTGGGCCTGGAGGTCGCGATAGGCGTCTACGGCTGAGCTCTTCCGCGCGACGACGGCGTCCATGAGTTGTGCGGTTACAGGATGCAAAGCTGAGCGGTTTTTCTCGAGGAAGTCGTCTGGGAGTGAGGCGAGGCGTTCGGATACGAATGTGCCGTCGTAGAGTAGTTGGCCGGCTTTTTGGAAGGGCGACCAGTCGATTGGTGTGAGGACGCCGCCGATGGCTTGTAGTTTCGATATTGTGTCGTTGAACATGCGACGGGCTGGTGGTGAGCAGATAGCGAGTGCTTTGGGTGGCGGGATGCCGAATTTAAACGTGCGTGATTGGGGGCCGATGCTGTTGATGTGGCGTTCGAATGCCATCTCTGGTTTCGCGTAGGGGTCGAGGGAGTCGTGGGCTTCTAGGATTTGCCACAGGGTTCGCGCGTCGGATACGGTTTTCGTGGAGAGTGCGATGCAGTCGAGCGACAGGCATGCTGGTGTGATGCCCCGGAAGGAGATCGTTCCTCGTGTAGGCTTGTATCCGACGATGCCGTTGAAGCCAGCGGGTACTCTGCCTGAGCCAGCTGTGTCTGTTGCTAGTGAGAAGGAGACGAGATTCGCTCCGACAGAGACCGTGCTGCCACTGCTTGATCCGCCGCTGATGTACTCTTTGTGGTATACCGAGTGTGGAACTCCGTATGGGCTGCGGCATCCTACGAGGCCGGTGGCGAGCTGATCTAAGTTGGTTTTTCCTATAAATAAGGCACCTTCGGCGATGACTTTGTCGTATACTGGAGCGGAGGTCGAGGGTAGGTGCGCAAGTGGTGGACATGCGGTCGTGGTGGAAAGACCGGCAATGTCGATACTGTCTTTGACGCTGAAGGGAACGCCAAACAGGGGCGGAAGTGCGTTTCGGTCGGGGTAAGTCGATACCAACTTTCTTGCGGCTTCTAGTGCTGCTTCACATGGCTGTAAGTGTATCCAGACTGCTGGGTCTATCTCTTTGTATGCTTCGATCTTCTCGTAGACCGCCTCAACGACGGTTACGGGTGAAAGCCCGCTCTTGTACGCTCGCTGTAAAGCGGATATCGTGAGGTTGCCATCGAATATCGGCGGTGTCTGAGGAGGCGTCGAATTGGCGACCGGCCCCTTACTTGACAATGGCGACAGGGTATCTAGTAAAGGCTGCAGGCTACCAATGTATCCAAACAGGCCCTGCGACCAATGTATCATATCCAGCGTCGACTTCTTGAAGCAAGCATCGTTATATCCACTAGTAGCTTCCTCGATACCACAGCATTCGAAACCGCGGTCATTCGCCTCCCGAATAGTGGTAGCAAAGCAACACTCGGTAGTGACACCAGACACTATGAGATGTGTGATAGCTCTCGCTTTGAGCTGGTGCAGAATAGTCGTGTTCCAGAATGAACCTTTGCCGGGTTTATCAATGACGACCTCCCCAGGAAGCGGCTTTAGCTCATCGATGATGTCGTGTCCGTATTCTCCGCGGGTAAGCAGGCGGCCAAGCTCTCCCTTGTCGCCGATGACAAGTTTGTGCTGGGTGTTGCCTGGCGCGGCTTCTTGTCTGATCAACTTTGATGATGGGCAGTCGGAGAGATCTGGTTTGTGGCCTTCGCGGGTGTGGAAGATGGTCATGCCAGCACCCCGACACGCTTCTAATAACTTCTTCGTTGGGGCGATGGATGCTTGGACCGCTTCCAAGTTGCCGCCTTGGATTTCGCCGAAGCCTTTGGTGAGTAAGAAGTCGCGTTGCATATCGATTATGAGTAACGCAGTGTGCTCCAGAGGGAAAGAGAACGCGTATGGCTTCGCGTCAAAAGAGAGCATCGTGCCATTGGATGAGGTGTTTGCCATCTTCGTGATACCGTGGCGATGGAGAAGTCCGGTAACTGGGAGGTTGTGTAAGGGCAGACACGCTCATGTGGGAAAACAACATATACAGAAGGCCGCCAGGGAACCTCGACGCGCCATATCTACGTTCGATATCGACTCCATCGGATGAACGTGGGGACTCCAACGCGGGCCGCGAACGGAGTATGCAGCTGGCCTACGGGCCTACGGGCGGGATTTGGAGATGTCTTATCGGTATCGGGTGACGCTAGTACCAGATCGGTCTAGCTCGGCTCTCCGATGAGCAATCTCCATCATGCCCAGCGCCCAACGCTCCTTCATCCCCGTCGACACATCCAATTTGTGGCTAATACTTGCCTTGATAATGATGCCGAACCATGCTTGTCTCCGCATGCACCCCGCCATGTCATCAGCGACTATCTCCGACCCGGGAGCCGATATGGCTATCAAGCTGGAGACTATCTTGATATGGAGAAGCATGTAGCTGGCACAGCTCGGAGATCAAGACTTCCAGGCTTGATAAAGGATGAACGTAGTTCTGTCGCATTCGTGTTTTCCCACTTCATTTTGCCGTTTTAAACCATGTCTGTGCTCAAGGCGAG